TGTATCAATGTTATCTCTTATGTATTATGATCAGTGTACATAATTTGAATCAGCATATGTTTTGTCATGTTGACACCGCAAAAACATTATCCCTTTCCTCAGGATTGTGAACTTTAAAGAGCTACAATAACGTCAATATGTTCAATGGTTGTACTCCTATCACCAACAGCCACATTTTACTCATATTAACTTGACAATTAATTTTAAGGCTAGTCTTATAATTAATTAGATTTATGTTTTTGTAGATGTAGTTACGAGAATTCAGTAAGAATGTTTTAAGTGTCTGAAATTATTTTCTAGGTTTATTGTCGACTATGTCTTATCAGAGCCTGATACCAAATGGACAAAGAAGACTGGACATGTTAGTATCTCCCTACTTCAACCCCATCTCCCAGCATGCTCTGTTGACATCCCTAACTCAACTTACGTCTGCGTTTGTGGACCGACGTCTTTCACTCGACTAACCGAAAGGTAAGTTGAACTAACCGCTAAAACTTTAACGTTAATAATTTTTTTTCGATGATGTTTTTTAGTGAGTGGAGATTGAGTAACTTCAACTTAAAACCTGTTCTTATCATCTTTTGCAATGAATAAATTGTCTGCAAATTAAGGTTTACATAGTGCCAAGTGAGCTATAACTGGTACCAGTGCTTGGTTTTTTACTTCTTCCTCTAAAATTCTTGCCGGTTCCTGACCTTATGTGACAATTAGTCCCAACATATGATATCAATATGAGAGAAAATTGGCGCCTCCACCAATTATGAATCACTTTCTGTGATTAAATTTTAAATGAATTCGAAATAATTTTATTTGCCCTTCATATTAATTTGATTTTGGTATTCATTCAAATATATAAGATTATGTAGGCATCATGGCACTATTAGAAGATAATTGCTATATGTTTTTATAGGTGCCTAAAAGAAGACTTTGGTTTTACTGTAAACGACTACTACTGTTTCCTGGGCCAATAAACTTAAACTACAGAAATTTTAACACATAGAAAGTACAGATATTTTTTAAACAGTTGATTTATACTTACTTAAGTAGGAAAATATATTTATATACAATCTTTTACCTATTTGATGCACTTTGTACTTCTCCTAACACAGTTATATGTTGTAATAAATGTATTGGTTTTTTACTAAAAACTGTTTTACTATCCTCTTTTAGTGATGTATCAAAACCAAATCTGAAATCTTAAAACCACCAAAACGTTGGAAGAGTTTTGTTCTGGAGGTTCGATAGGTAGGTTTTAAGATTCAAGACTCAAAACCAAGTCTGCCAACATTTCTTTGTCATAGATCATTGACATAGACATAATATTGACCACTATATAAACATTTGAGTTAATTTCATATCTATATTATTTCAGTGGCAGGAGTTTGATATTTATTTAAGAGTTTCTTGTTTGTAAAAATTAATGTTTCTAGGTTCGTTTAAGTTTAAAGCGAATGAATGTAATAGTTATATATAGCCTACCCTGTTTTTATGACAGGGTCAGAAGTCCAATTCCTTTTAGTTTTGATTGCATAACAAGTTCTATTTATTTAATTTATTGTAACCTTAACTAGGCAAGTAAAAAGTTTTGCATTTAGGTTTTGAGATTCGGAATATGATTTTTAAAGGTTTGGTTTTGAGATTTGTAATTTCTGGTGTTGACCATAATTTTTTTCAATTTTGAAATCTGTTTCAAGTGTTAAAGATAAGTAATATAATTAAACTAAATTGCAAGGCATATACAGGTGTCTTGTAAGTAAATACAAAATTTATTTAGGAATAGAATTAATTGGTCAAAATAAAAAGGAAATCAAGAATAAGGTTTTTTTTCATAAATGTGTCGTTAGAAAGATAAATTGTTTCCCATTTTCTCATTTAGGCCTATATTTTAAAAAGCATTTTAATTTTTTAATACAAAAAAATTCTAATTTTATGAAAAAAATTCCAAGAACACGTTAGTTAATTTACCATTTATAATTCCAGATAAAAACACCATGTATGGCCAAAATTAGGCCATGCAGTCAGGTTGGCCTCATTTTACGCTTAAAATTTGTGTTTGATTTCTCAGCTATTTATTATTAGGTAGATGTTTTTAAACTTGGTGTCTGAACTTGATAGGGAATTTAAAAGCTAAATAGAAGCTAGTGTTCTTGGCATTTTTAAAACTTCTGTTTTTCAAATTTAAGCTATGACTATACAAATTTAAATGGCCGCTATCTTGGAAACCAAAAATATTTTCTTATTTGTAGTTTTTCTGAATTAAATTATGACTTGATATTACTCGCAACACCAAATTTCATAAAGATATCTTGAATAGTTTTTGAAATATAAATTTTAAACACAAATAAAAGGTATCAGTAATCTGAAACGTACTTTCTCCCATTAGCTTGCCAACAACCTTTATCAATAATAATAATAGGATAAATACCTTGTATACGTCCTCAATCCAAGTCGTCTTTTATAATGACTATAGTTTCGGGGCCAACAGCCCCATTGTCAAATTTTCTGTCTTGTTAATTACTGTTTATAGCATTGGTCACCGTTAAGTACACATATACACATACACTGACACACAAAACATTTATATTTACACGTAACATTGAAAAATTATACTTTTTGGCCGGCCTAAACAAAAGTGATTACATAATTGTGCGGACCGGTACACTGACTGACTCAAACTGACACAAAACGAAACTATAGTCATTATAAAAGACGACTTGGATTGAGGACGTATACAAGGTATTTAACCTATTATTATTATTATTCAATCCAGGAGGCAAACATGGATAAACTTTATCAATAAATTAACTATGATATTTAATAGGTAAATTTTGCATTAACTTTTGAACTGCAATTTTCACAGTAATGGGAGATTGCACTACATATTTTTTTAGAATTATAAGGACATAAAAGACAAATTTCAATCAGAATCGATTTTCTTTTGGAAAAATCCATTTTTCCGGTTTTTTGTTGAGGTTTTATGGGAAAATAACATAAGTTACAATAACTTTTGAACCGTAATTTTTACAGGAATATGAGTTCTACAATTTTGTTCAGGATTAAAAGGACTACAGTATCAAAACCGTTCAGGCCATTTTCAAGAAAATCCTATATTCCGTTATTTTATGGGTTTTTATGGAAAAATCACCATTTAAAATCAAAATTTCAATAAAATTAAAAAAAGCCTGGAGATACAATGGACACTTATATAGGCCTACTGAATTTCATAAAAATCGGACTACAGGTGTGGTCTACTCCGAAAACCACTTTTTTGGGTTCAGGGGACCCAAAAGGGATGTATCCACTCAAAACTCAAACTCAAAAATATTAACAAAACCAATACTTTCTCCATATGCTATGTATAGGGGGGAAAAGTGACCGAAAACGGATATATCCACTCATAACTCAAACTCGAAAATTTGGACAAAAACAATACTTTTTCCATATACTATGTATAGGGGGAGAAAGTAAAAACAAAATGACAAATATCTTGCTCACGAGTTATTTTTGGAAAAAATGTTAATTTTTGTTTTCTTTTCATTTTGACCCATTAAACCTATTCTCCTGATTTTTTTACTTAAGGAACATCTTGTATACATATTCTTAAACTGTACATAGTTTAGTAAAATGGCCAAAACGGCACACGGAAGATTTTTTAGGTGCCGTTTGACGTCACTAACTACTGACGTCACTTTGAGGGAACACCATTACCGCAACGATACGGTTTGAGCCATCGGCCTCGGTGGTGTAGTGGATAGCGTGTCAGGCTGATAATCCGAATGTACCCGGTTCGAATCCCGCTGGTAGCACTAACTTTTTGTCAACAATTTTTTTCATATAAGCAAGTTTGGTTGGTTTGGTTAGGTTATGACAGTTTAATTTTATAATTAAAAAATTATAAAATTTAATTTTAGGCATTTATAATTTTATTTTATGAACAAAACTATTTTTTAGATTAGTAAACCTTTATTCGATTTTTTCATTATCAGCACGTTTGGTTAGTTTGGTTAGGTTATGACAGTTTAATTTAATAATAGAAAAATTATAAAATTGTTTGTTTCTTCAGACGCAGCAATTAGTGACGTCAGCAGTTAATGACGTCAGCAGTTAGTGACGTCAAACGGCACCTGAGAAATCTCCCGTGTGCCCCACCGGTAAAATGGCTAATTTTTACATACCATACTTAAAAATCTGCTGTTTTTAAAATCAGCAGTTCAATTAACTATGAAAGATATGTTACAATTAATTTAGTCATGCAAGAAACCCACGACACTTTTAGAAATTGTTTTTAAAAACACTATAATTATGTAAAACATGGTCTGCGCCCTAATAACTAGAAAAAGTTGATATTTAAGAAGTAAAACTGTATTTCACATCAGTTAATGTAGCTCAATTGAACTAAGTAATTTTTTGTGAAAAATAACTTGCTCTAACTTAAACTTGAAAATGGAATGACTATTTTCACCGTACTTAATAGTCCAAATACTACTACAGACTTTTGGATGCTGACCTACATCCCATCTATGTGGACCAGGTGTAGCCAATTATTTATTTAAAAAGAACAGGAATGAGCCACTGAAAGAGTGTGGTACAGTCTAAAGTGTAAATCATATTTCTTCCCTTAGTTTTTGGTATCCTAACTGTAACAGTTAATATGACGTAAAGATGCTAAAGCTTAAGTCTGGTCAGTTTGGTTTGGTAAAAAAATTGGCTTGTTGGACATAGAAATCAGTAATTTACTTTAACACAATCTTTCTGCAGTTAAATTTAGCTATGCTTATTTTTTTTATTTTTCCATAGCTAAAACTTTTACACGGGAATAGAATATCTAGTTATATTCTAAATATTCAAAGCTTCTACTGATTTTAAGAAAAATACTAAAATATAAAAATGTAGCTATAAGATCAAAATGTTATGTGTACTACTTCTTTGTTTGAAATACACTTTTTCTGAAACATATGTTTTATTTACAATCTACAAAAATGGTTCAGATCATCTGACTTTCTATCAATATTTTGTTTTCTCTTATTCAGTTTATCTTAAAATTCAAAGTTTATTGTAAATTATGGTTAATAATTTTGCTTAGAAAATTTACCCCACAGAAGTTTTACGATCATGGAGGGATCACCGAACCAACCAAATGTGAGTTTGAAATAGATTCTTGTCAAAAACATGTTTCTGGCTAATAGTGGCCAAAATGCCAATATTGTCTAATTTTTTGTGTGTAAACTTGTGTTACTGCATGTATTAAATTCTTTAAGGAATATGATTGTCTAGATTCTTAACAGAAACATCTAATAAACTTGTATTTGCCACAACTAATTAATAACGTAAATTACATCACAAGGAAGCTTTTGAGGGAGTATTTGGCCACTCTTAGTATTTTGATATTGCCATTGTCTATGTTATTAATAATTTCCATTTCAATCTGATTTGTTCTTAAGTAAAAAAATTGTTTTATTTATATGCATCCATGTGTATACATAATTTTGTGTGTGAGGTAAAATATTTTGGTACTTTCCTGTTAAAGGGAACATTCATTATTATCGATGATTTATTTCTCGATATATCCATGTTAACGAATTGAAACCTATCAGCTGACAACTACGATAAATAAATATTGTTCAGTATCAACACACAATGATTAAAAAAAAATATTGAAATGAAACTATTCTAAACTAACCTAACAAAACTAACCAAACCTGCGGTAACATTTAAAATCCGTTTAATATTCTTCACTTGTCTTTTCTGTTACCAAACGGAATTTTTAAATGGTACAGCAAGTTTGGTTGGTTATGTTAGGTTAGTTTAGAACCGTTTCATTTCTTAATCTATATAATAGACTATATTTTAGCCTAAATAAGATCAGTTGTCAATTTGTAAGGGATTGTAAAGAAAAACAAAAACATCGATATATCGAGAGAAAAAATCGCATCGATAATAATGAATGTTCCCTTTAACAGAAAAGTACCAATATTTTTTAACCATTCAACATTAACCCTTAGAGTGCCAGGCGAGAAATAAAAGTAACGCTCAAAAAATGCCGATGATTTTTCCCGAAGGTCGCGCTAAAAATGCCAAGCGCGATCTGGCGATTTTTAGGTTAAAATTTCGTAAAAATCGAATTTTCGATATTTCGACCAACGAAAATCGATGTATCGCATCTAGTAACTTTCGACTCAATGTTAATATATAGGTTAAAAGAATCCGAGTATCCATTCGGTTGTTATGACAACTGTTCGATCATTACGAAACGTCCGGTCAGCCGGACGTTGGCACTTTTGGCTCGTTCTAAAAACGTCCGGTCTGCCGGACGTCGGCACTTTTGGCTTGTTTTAAAAACGTCCGGTTCCCCGGACGTTGGCACTCAAAGGGTTAAAGTACTTTTACTGATAAGCTACTGGGTAAAAAGGCTTCTTTTCATTAGCATGGTTTTGTAAACTCAATAAGGATATTTTTTTACTGTCAACATATATTTTTGACAGATCACAGAACAGAAAAAGCACTACGATGATCGAATAAGAGCAATAGAAGATGCAATCTGCAATCTTTGTGTAAGTAAATGTTTAAGGGCTAATTAAATGGTATAAAATGTGGTTTCTTCAATTATGTCAATCCAATATAAAAAAACCCTCAGAGATAAAAATAAAAAAAATGGGTTTCGTTTATTTTTTAATTGTTAATTAAGGACTCATACAACTGTAAATACAAATACACTGATAAATATAAATCTTACATTAAATGAAATCAAATTGTAGCTAACTTTATTGTAAGCTAACAAAAGTGGCAGTATGCACTGTACTTAGCACTTATGAATCTGTGAGGAATCAAACTGTATTTTAAAATATTTGAGTTGGTCGCATAGCCTATAATTTTTTTTTTTTTTTTTTTTTTTTTTTTTAAGAGGTTGGCGGCCTCTTAATAAGTAATTAATAATTAAGTTAATAAATAATTAATTAATTAGTAATTAATTGATAAAAAAAAATCTTTGTTAGTTATATACCATACAATATATTATAATTTGTTAACAAAATTAACACTGATTTTTATTTACCTTTTTAGGGTCCGTCATGTGGAACATGTACTCAAGTAAGTATATAGCTGTAAGATAAAATTATTCTTAAATTGTGAATGGATATTTTTGAAACTTTCTTGCAACTTCATATTAGGCTATTTAATAGCCAAGTAATGTCCAAAGTATATGGGCAGACACGATCAACGTGATATTTAGGCTAAGGATCAGTAGATATCGTCTTTCTGATTATGACGGAGGGTAAGGACCTTGATCAACTTCGACCGGGATGCTGTCTAAGTCATAAAATAACTGACTGTCATAAAATGTTTGAGCCCTGAGGGCTTAGGTCACATGTTGAGCTGACTTGAAGTAATGTTACAAACAATCTCATGTTTTGTGTCCAACAAAATAGAGGACATTTTAAAATGAGTAGTCTGATATATGCAGGAGTCTCAGGCTACAGGCTGGCCACATGTGCCTAAAAGCATTTTCTCTCCTCTCCCTAAAAAAATTCCCAACTCTCCCTAAAAGAGGATTTGAGTAAAGGGATTTCCCCCTAGACATATCTGTTCCAAAGATATCTTGAGGATTGTTCTTGTGGCAAATTTCTTGGGTATTAAATATCATTGACAAATTCTAGTGACTTTAATATTTCGGTGTGTTTTGTCCTATTGGAAAGCAAAACTGATAAATCCTCATGCCTCATGGACAATGAATCCCTACAGTTATTTTATAGACAGTTTAATTTTAATTACAGGATGCCAGACAGCCGCCGGACGAATCATGGATGGCTGATGGACGATTTCATGCTGCTCAACAGGCTCCCAAGAAGACCGAGGGAAGATGGGTAGCTGAGTCTCCAAGGCAGCCGGCAGGTGCTGCACAATGTGTGAGCAGGATTTACTTTTATCAGAATGACTTAGTAATCAGTAGCTATGCAAAAGGAAAATCTTATATGTTTAGTACAAAGAGTGCCCAGCTGACTGAGTTTCTGAATCAACCACTTTCTGGACAGTGGTCGTAGTTTTAATCACACTCAGATGATTAAGCAGTGTTAGAATCTGCAAAGGATTTGACTCTTGTCTGAAGAGAGCTTGGTTAATAGGATAATCAACAAAAAGGGTGGGGGGGGGGGATATAAAAGTATTAAGGTTTCTAAATGTTACTGCTCCACCATAGGTTTTGGAAACTGCATTGATACAGGGTTTAGGAAAAAGCAAACATGTCAGTGAAATAAAAAAAAAATCCTGAACTTACAAATATTTTAAAGTTAGTTTCTGATAATAACTGCTAATTAATATATCTTTATCTATGATTTTTGTGCTAAGTGCAATTACACAAACAAAAAATTAGAGATATGCAACCAAGTTTTGGCTTGATGTAATGTTGTTTTTTTTTAAGTTAATAAACTGGATTACTGATAAAAAAATTAAAATGTAAGTTCGTGCTCTTGGCAATCCACATTGCACTCAGCAACTAGGTTAGGCCTTTTCTGTCATGAATACCAAAAAGTTACCAAAGTGCATCCATGTAATTTTTACAAATTTATCCTGTTTTTCAGAACGCTGAATTTCCCCCGCTGAGTCTATTGTCCGTGGAGAATGGTGCGACCATGCCAGCCTACAACCCTGTCGACCAGCTGGTCTTGGAAAAGTCCACTTCAGTGTGTAGGCCTAATGCAGTGTGCAGTACTGAACAGGAGCAGGTGAGTGATGGTGGATGGAGAAAAAGTTTGGAAAGTACGTTATTGAAAAAATATCCATGCCATCCCATTTAAATGAAATAATTAACAAACTAAGTCAAAATTTCGTTAGAGGAAGCAGTGGGTTGTTAGCGCAGCAGTATGCTACCGATTTCTGAATATTTTATAGCTGACTATGAGCAGAACATTTTTATAATATCTGGTGACATATTTCTCACAGAATCTCAAGAAATAATTAACTTATTTTTGTTTTATTAACATTGTAATGATTATAAGTATGGGTAATAGAAAATTCTCTTTCTACTTTAGAGCGTTCACAGGAAAAAAATGCCAAAAATCTATATATATAATTCCGTAAGTCAAATTTTTGTAAAGAAATTGTGAGTGACTGGATGGCCGTAGAAGGATGGGAGGGGTCTTATTTTAAAGGTCTTGACGTGAATTTTGAGGGAAAACTATTCATTTTTCTTATTTTTTTACCATAAATTCGCAACAGAATAAAACTTTTCCCATTAAAACAACATGGGGTTTAATTTGTTTCCATCTTTTGAAATTAAAACAGCTGTGCCACAGATTTGAAAACAGTGATCAATACACACATATTTGGTTTACTTTTAGCCAGTCAACTATGAAATGTATACTATAATAAAACTGAAATATTGAAGAATAGTCGGAAAAACGTCTGCATTCTTTGTTTATATTTAAATCATATACTCAAGTTTCATTTTTTTTCGTTATTGTCGTGTTAAAGGAATAAACGACATAGAATAAATATTCTGTATAAATAATCAAAGAGTCGAAATTAAATATAACTTCTGTTTTGTTTTTATTTTTAAATCATATGGTTAAGTTTATTTTAAATGATGTTGTTTTCTTTATATTTCTATACATTTTAAGGTTAAGGTTGTGTAAATATATACAACTAAAATAACCTATAAATGTTATTGGTTCTAAAATGGTGTATTTGCATTCCTTCGTAAGTAAATTTTTTAGTGCAGTGAATATACAACGTAGAGTAATCATATTCGATCATACTTTTATAAAATCACCAGGGATTCAAGATGTTTTGGTATGTAGGCTGCTGGATATATATTCTTTTCATTATAAGTACTGTAATTAATATGAACGCCAGGGGAATACCACAAAGGCGGGGAACTGTTCATAGGAATGACAGTGCACGTAGGAGAGCAAGAGTAGATAATGACGAACTTAACCCTCCGAGTGTCACTCGTCGAAAAATCGACGTGCGACACACTTTGTGTAGTGTCACGCGTCGATTTTTCGACGCGCGAACATCGTTTACGGCGAAGGCTCTATGACTGACTGAATCGGATTGAACTGGATCGAGTTAGGTAGGTATCGTTCTTTTCCTTATATTCTAAGCTTTCTCCAGAGGTCTGTCTCAGCGCTGTATGTTCTCCGAGCCGATCGTAATTGTAGCAGACAGCTGACGTGCGTATTTGTAAATAGCTAGGTTACCCTCGGACCGATGACTGATGTGTTTTATTACGTTTATCATTGTTTTAGTGTTAAAAATCAAAAGTAGTGATATACGTGGTGCATTATAAGAAAAGAAGATTTAAGTGATTTTGAAGGGCTGGTTGATGATCCTGAAGAAGTAGGTAGTAATATTGATGTAAATTATCAGCCAGATTCCTAGCTATGGTTAGGCTATGCATTCTTAGCTAAACGCTATGTACTGAAATCTGTTTTTTGCCCATAACTTATTTATTTGCAAATCTACTTCCTTATATTATCATATATTTGTAATCCTCATAAAATTTAGAACAAAGTGGCTATTTTCAAATATTTATAGGCCTATAATTTATACAATTTCATTGAGCGCAAACTTATTTTTTTATTTGAAAATTTTCCAAAATATTTTTTTTTACCTAAAAAAATTTTTTGGAACAAATGTTTCTTATGTTTTATGTATAATATTGAAGCCCATGATTTTCCAAACAAAATGGTATATAGAACAGTAGAATTAACATTGTTTTAAGCTTCTCAGATCGGTTTTAATAAAACCTTGCAAATGCGCCAAAAATAGGCGGACATTAAGGCCTAAACTATGGACACTCGGAGGGTATCTAAGAGAAATGTGTCTAGGCCTAGGCCTATTAGCGATACGCCAATGATTGACACTAAGAAACCGGGGGAAGAATAATTGGCTCTGATTTGTATGGGGGAATAGAGTCATCAGGCAAAAACCCTAAAAAGTTAAAAATGTTATTTTTGAACATAAGATCCATTTTTAATAAAGTTCACCTGTTAGAGGCACTACTTCAGGATAACACTTATGACATGGTTTGTGTGGCAGAAACATGGCTTAACAAAGATAAAAGTAAACACTTCAAAATAGAAAATTATTCTAAGGTATCTGATTATTGTAGAGAAAGTAAAATGGGAGGAGGTGTTGCAATCTTTAACCATGCAAATAGTTCAATTAAAAGTAGTCCTATCAGCATTTTGAGCACACTGTCAGTTGAAGAAATTTTTGAATGCTGTGGGGCTATTGTTAAGTGTAAAGATTTTAAATTTATTTTATTAAATGTCTATAGACCGCCTTATAAATCAAACTTCTACAATTTCATTGAACTGTTAGAAGATACCATCAGTACGGTTAAGAAGAGTTTCTGTGATCTGCCTTTGGTAGTTTGTGGTGATCTGAACATAGACAATTTGGAAAATACCTTTGAGAAGGACTGCTTAAATGATGTACTCAGTTCAAGTAACCTACATGTCACCTTTAAACATTATACAAGAATCGATCAAACCTCAAACAAACATAGCCAGCTTGACTACTTAATCACCGATTTCCAAAACCAGCTTTATTCAACTGTTATTCTACCACCTCTCTTATCAGATCACTGTATAGTTGTTTTAATTTAAATTTGAGTTGCCATAAAATCAAGAAAAAAGTTGAGAAGCGAAAATTAACAAAGCCTAACATCTCTACATTTGAACATCTTCTCAAAACCCATTTGGTGCAAACCTTAGACGCAACTGCTAACACAAACGATGCGTTTGATGAATTCTATTCCTGTTTTGTTTATTTATTTGATATATGTTTTCCTAAAGCAATTTATAATAGTAAGGACGATTCTCATGTCAAGTGGATTACCCCAGAGGTCACTGATTCGCAAGAAAAACTCATAGATCTGTACTGGCGAACAAGAAATGTAAATAGGCCTAATGTAAATAGTAAATTAGAATACAATAATGCTAAGCGTCTACATTCCGATCTTCTTAGCAGAGCAAAGAAACAATTCTACAAGTCAAAGATTGACAATGCTAAGAATATTAGTAAAGAATCATGGGCAATTATTCGAAACTTGACATGTGATGACAATGTAAATAGTTGTAATATAGGTCTTAAGTTTGATGACGAGCTTGTTACTCACCCGAGTACTATAGCAAATATTTTTAACAATTACTTCATTTCTGAGATTGACAAGCTGGCGGGTCCAGCGATTAAGATAGATATAGACCCAAACCAAGTCCCCGATGAAGGTGATTTCCATTTATGGCCTACAAATGAGAAAGAAGTACTGAGCGTAATAGATAAAGTTAGCAAAAAGAGTAGCGCTGGTGTGGATGAAATTCCTTGTAGCCTTCTTAAATCATGTAAAGATATCATAGTTAAGCCACTAACAAAAATAATAAATAAGTCGTTTTCACAGGGCATTTTCCCCAACAAAATAAAAACATCAAAGGTTGTACCTATATATAAGAACAATGAAAAAGACATAGTTAAGAACTACAGGCCAGTAGCAGTACAAAGTGTTTTTTCAAAGATCTTTGAAATCATATTCTTAAAGAGATTGTTCCCTTATTCGGAAGATAATCAGGTATTGAATCCTGATCAATATGGTTTTAGAAAAAACAAATGTACAACTGATGCAATATTTAATCTACTAATAAATATCTATGATAATCTTGATATTGTTGGCGAGCAGCTCTGTATTTTCTATGATATGACCAAAGCATTTGACCTCATTTCCCATGATATTCTTATAAAAAAGTTAATGGCTATCGGCATTAAAGGTAAAGCCTTAAATTGGGTAGCATCTTATTTGAAAGACAGGAAACAAATTGTTAGTGTCAGGTATTCTGGGCAAGATGGTTTAAGTCGCCATTATCGATCGGCCACCTCATCTCCTGTAAACACCGGTGTACCGCAAGGTTCCAACCTAGGCCCTGTACTGTTCTTGCTGTTCGTGAACGACCTACCTGAATCTGTCTCAATAGGAAAGATTTGGCTATTTGCAGACGATGTTAGCCACCTGGTGCAGGACAGAGACGAACAGATGCTTAGGCATAAAGCTCAAGATGGGTTAAACCAAATGAACAATTGGTGTAAGGACAACAAGCTGATTTTAAATAAAGGAAAAACCAAAGCTCTTCAATTCCATAACAGGAAAATCCCAGATAACTCACCATTACTCAAACTTGAAGGCACCAGTATCAAAATTGACAATCACATAAAGTATTTAGGCCTAACCATCAGTGACAATCTTAAATGGCAGGATCATATCCAACAAATTTCGCCCAGATTAACAGCTGTGTGCCATATGGTCCGTAGGCTTAAGTCAATTGTTGATAATGATGTTTTAATGAAAATTTACTTTGGTTGCTTTCAAAGTATTGTCAACTACGGAATCTTATTCTGGGGAAACAGTCCTCTCGCAAGCAGAATACTACTTCTTCAAAAAAGAATAATAAGAACAATTTATAATGCTCCATACCTTGCCCATTGTAAAACCCTTTTTGTTGAAGCAAAAGTCCTTACGGTGCCAGCAATATTTATTTTGGAATCTGCACTAATAGTTAAGAAGAACCCGAACACGTTTCCACAAAACAATACAATTCACAACTACTCAACAAGGCAAAAAAACAACATTCATCTAAATCAAGTCAACTCAAGTTTAGTAAAGGACGGACCAAAGTTTTTATCAAGCTTAATCTACAACTTGATCCCTCTAAATATAAAAAGCATTGAAGATCAAGATGAATTCAAGAGGAAATTTAAAGAATATCTATTGAAGAGGCCATATTATTCTGTTGAAGAATATCTAAAAGAAAAATAGGCCAAAAAAACTGACGACCACGGCGCAGCTGCGCTACCAGTGGGAGATCACCAAGTATCAAGTAAGTAAGTAAGTAAGTAGGTAAATCAAGATATGTTACAACCCCTTTTTAGGAGACCCATGGTAGACGAGAGAAATGTAAAGATCCATGATGCAGGATTATTGGACCATGAGTGCATTCAATGTAGTGCTCTTCATTTTAGAGAAGAACTAACGAATAATCATTTTATGACATGTTGCCATAACGGACTTATTAACCTTCCTCAGTCAAAAACTAATGTAGAACTTAAAAGTTTGTTTGAAGAGAGCCCACAACTGTATAAATTCATTCGACAATGCAACAGTGCGATGGCTTTTGCTTATTTTTCAGCCAGTAAGAAAGATAATCCAGGAAAAGGACCATACTGTTTCAAAATTCAAGGACAGATTTATCGTTAAATCTCAGATTTGCTGCCTCAACATGATGAAGACGTGTATGGCCAATTGTACATTATTGACACATCAACAGCAACAGAAATTCGTCAAAGGCGTCGAGAAAATAGTGACTTAAAACCTGAAATATTGTCAAAACTAGCTAAAATTCTAATAGAAAATCCATTTGCACAAATTTACAAAAGAGCTTCGGAAGAAATGGTTGTACAAGGTGACAGTGAATTAGAACTTAGGTTTGTAGACAGGATAAATATGGATCGTCGTAGGTATAATAAGCCTACTGCAGATGAAATTGCAGGCGTCTTCAATTCATCTGAAGGCGAACCTCCAATGAATTTTTAAAATTCCAAACAGGGAAGCTTTTATTTATCCTCATTAACCACAAGACCAAAGCTACCTTAGTAAACCAGTATTTATTCACAAACAATGATATGTTTGCTGCCTTTTCATGCTAAACCACTGGAGTGATTCAAATTATTTATTGATAATGACATCAACAAAAGCAAACAAAGAAGAACAACAAACTGGTTTTTACACAAAATATATGGTGTAGGGATGCCTATTCTGACACATAGATAATGTTATTCTGAGTTTGTTTAAATACCGGTATTGCAAAAAGTTGTTTTACATTTGAGCTTTTTAGGGACTTATGTCCCTACAAGCCACTAGTAAAATACATTTTGGTAAACCATTTTTTAATTATTTTTTAATCAATTAAATGGTTTTTAAAGAAACTTCAACTCATATCGAGGGTTTAAAAATTTAAAATATTTAAGCTAAGGAAAATGATCTCTCTATGCATTTGTCCAAAAACCAATTATAATGTGAAAGAGGTTCAATTAGATCCATCAGGCACGCCAACGATAGTGTTCATTGTTTATTATGATCAATTTGATTTGACACTATTGGAATCCTGTTTTTTTTTATTTTTTATTATTATTATTAATATAGCTTAAGTTTTACAATTTTAACAAGGAATGGCGATGAACAACATTCATTACTTTAAACATATTACTCACACTTCAACAAATATTTAATTAAAATCCAAAATATGTTAACCTCTGAAAAGTACAGTTTGTTTTTTGCAACTTTAAGAGTAGGCTACTTTGTCTTGTTAATTTAATGATATATTTCAGCAAAACAAGGTGGAAAAAGATTTGAGCCTGGTCATAAACGAGACTGAATACATGATCAACTTTGGGTGCAAACAAGTCAGACATTTGAATGCTGTAACTCTTGAGCTGAAACTGTTGTTGACATATGAGCAGGTATGTTTTTATTGTGAAACCCGAAACACTTACAAACTAACTTGCAATGTTAGAGCGTTAGAAATAAAACATGAATTACCAAAATTACTTAGTTTACAAAACAACAATATTGAGCAGTAAAATATTGGAGGTAGAAAAAAGGAAAAATATTTTTTTTTTAATTTACAATTGTAAATAGTAATGGAATTTTTAAAATGGTAAGAAATAACTGTAATGGATGTTTGTAAAAAAACAAGTGTTTGTGAAATTTCAAAGTGAAAAATATTCATACAACAGCCACTGGATATCTTGGTGGATTTTTCAGATGCAAAATAAAAATCATACACTAATCAAATCACTGTAGAGAGTAACTTACTGGTTTTATTTTTACACATTCAGTTTTTAATGAACTTTTACAACAAAAAATTGTGTTTGATGTTTGAAATTAGTTCATAATTTGTTTTAGAAAATTCTCAAACAAGTGGTCAATAGAATTGACAAATTTAAATTGCTTAGAGAAGAAAATAAGAGAAAAGCAACAGAATGGGAAAACAAATACAAGGAGAAAACACCGGAATACGAACGTTATTCTGTTATGTTGGTAAGTCATTCCTTACGATTTATGATTTATGTATGTATTCCTTCTATATTCACCTTTACCATGGAAGACTTATCATGAATTCTCGATAAATTTAATACTGAATGATATACAAATTTATAGTAAGTCGTTAATTTTTCTGTAAAAAAGGTACAATAATAATGTTAAATCCCACTTTATTATTTCATCAAAGTGATTAATTACCAATAAAATATACCACTTTAACTTACAACTTTTAAAATAGGGTAGTCCAGCTGTTCGCTGTTTCCAATCCTGATGTTTAAAAAGAGTATGATTTTTCCAGATAAATGTTCCGCAGACAGAAACAATCAACGTAGATGGAATCCCAGGTCCCGTTCAGCAGGTATTAAAAATAAAAATAATTCAAACGTAACTGTTCACATTATACAGGTATTTTTTTTTCATAAAGTTAAAATACCTAATTTTCAAATTTCCACTGTTTAAAGATGAACCTTTTAAGATTGGGTTAACGACACTGTGTTCTCTTAATCGATTAGCCCTTACATCTATCTATATATTAATAGGCAAGCATGTTTCTTTAAAACCTTTTTTCTTGGCTCATGTGCATTGCAGGGAAAATCTACGCATACTGTTAGAAAGATATTTTGCTGTAGGTGTGCAGAATGCATTTATAAATTAAAATAGGCTCAAATATAAGCACAAAAAATGAATTTGAAACTTTTAAAAAATTGGGCTTTATGGGTTGCTATGCTGGTGACGAAATAACAACGAAATATAAACAGAAAATCAAAACAAATTGAAGAAATTACAATCAGATGTTTTATTTACAGGGTTTCTACCAAGTCAAACTTATGGAATGACTTATTATGAGCTATAGCAATTGTTATGACCCATCAACTTTGTCAGCAACACAAAATTAGGTAGAAAATATCATTTTAGACACGCATTCTGTGACTGACTCACACAACCACATGTTTTGAATTAAAAAATAGCAACATCTGGTCCATATAGATGGGATATCTACTTCAGTATCAAATTGTCAATGCGTGTAAATTACATATTTTTAGTAGAGTTTTCGACCACTGGACAACCACTAGTTTAATTTAATGTACAACTCGACCTATGCTCTCATTAATATTTTTCTCAACTTGTTTTGGAGCACCCCAATATAATGGAAAATATTGTTGATATTTGCCTGAATGAGTAGAGTTTTAGGTATAGTAGTTTGCAAATATTTTTTGCAGTATCTACAATAGAATAATGAACAAAATTCCTTTCCCAGACTTTTTGGAGACCCTTTATACTGTGGTTAAATTTGTATTACATGTTAATTTGGTAAAAAAAAAAACTGTTTTTAGCAAACTGAACACATTGTAGATCTTTATTTAAATTATGAAAATTTACTCCTAAAAAGCTCAATGAATAGGTAATGTGAATATAGTATAACTGTAATCTTATTTTTCCTACTGCTACATGGAAATGATCACATTGACTATATAATACCTGAAAATAGTACGATACGCAAAATAGCTCATTTCCGCTTTTTCATTCATACACATTACACAGTAAAAAAGCTGATTTCACCATTGGTGTTTCTATAAAACACTAACTTCCAGTAAGCTAAGACAAGCTAAATTTCAATTTATATACCCTGGAGCTGAAAAGTTAATCTGTCTGTTATGATAATTAATTATGGTGGTATAAAAATCTTGTGTGTATTATAAGCATAAACAGTCATTGCCGATTGCCGCTCTCGAAATGTATAGCCGCACTCAGCTAAGCAGCCATCTACAGTTCTGGAGCGGCAATGACATACTTTACGCTCTTAATACACAAATAAATAGCTTTTTCAGAAATTTCTGTTCCAAAAACTCACATAAATTGATTTTTATCTTCTTCAAAAGACTGTTTGGTATAGTAAATAACCTTATTTTAGGAATATTTGTTACGAATACAGTAGTGATGAAAATTGGTCATATTACCCTTAAAAATTGCTTTTTCCTACAGTCACCCGACAAAGTTGGCTTCCTTGTACTGTTTATAGTACAGAAAGCTGCTAATTGCTGCATATTTATATTTTGTCGTACGGTTTATACTTTGCCGCACATCAGGATTCCAACGAAACAACACAAAACAGCGTGGTTCTATTATGCACGTAATCTGTGTACACTTGGAAATAGGTTGGCAACACTTAGAGATAATAATACTATGAGCAGCTGATTGACTATTATAACTACGATTTAACCTGTCATTTCGTGTTTATAGTTTCGGTATTTCTGATCTTTCTGGACTTTTCTTTTAAACGTTTTTAAAACATTCCTACGATCTTAACAAACAAGAAAATACCTTTAAAGCATTTTTTTAGGCGCGGAAACCACTTCAAATGACAAAAAAATACGGAACTATATTCTCAAAACGCGGAGCACATTTCTTGCCGAGGAAAAATAGCGGAGTGATACGGACCGCGGGTACTACTTTCTCTAGGGCACCAGTTGTGTTGCCAGCTGAACCTAAAAACGTTTTGTATAGTGTTTGAAAGACTAATTATTTATGTGCTTTATAGTGACTGTAGGAAAAATATAATGTGTAACACGAGTGAAAAAGGCCTTTGCTGCACTCGAGATCATTCCGCACTCGCCTGCGGCTCGTGCGTAAACATTGCTCTCGTGTGCAGCAAAGTGCCACTTTCACTACTAGTTACACAAATAACTATTGTTATAAATAAAAATAATAAATACCCTTAACCTTTTTTCCCAGAAAGTCCTGTTCCAAATAGTGTCTCAGACCACCAACACAGCCAATAGGGTGGTGGTACATTTGTCCATGGAAGAGGCTGTCGCGAACGACATAGACTTGACTCTACAAGACATGAAAGTGAGTTTACAGAAATGTACGGTATTTCATATTTATTTATTTTTTACTTTTTTTAGAGTTGGTGCCTTGCAGTCTTTTTCTAACCTTTCATTGGCCTATCCACATGGGCTAGACCTGTGGTAGAAAGTACTGTTTTGTAAGTCCTAGATAGTGAGACACCCTTACTGTTTTTTTAGTGTGGCCTTGCCCTTACCCTTAACTGTCTGTAAGAATTTTAGTAATCCAAATGCATCTTTGACGGTCAATTTCCTCACAGTTTCAAGGAAAAAAATCAGTGAGCCAGTATAGTAGGGTACATGACTGAACCGTACTGATAAATTTCAAATGGCGACACTGGGACAAGTTTCCGAGTCTGTGACGGTGCCGTGAGCCACACAACTTATCCTATGTTTATTTTTGCTGTTTCGATGTTTAATAGTGAGCAAAAATTTTCATTAAAGAGGCTCTCCAGTCTCCATTAAAGATGAAATCTTAAAAAAATAAAAAATTATCTTAAGAAATCCAAAGGAACATTACTGAAGTTAAAACTCTCTTAGTATTTATCAATATTCTCTAATTTAAATTTAATGTACACGTTTTATGTTTTTACACTTTGAACTTCTTTTCAAAGGCCTCTTAATGTTGTAAATAGTTAAATAGTTGTACAAGGTGTTCCTTTTTCAAACATTGCTGTTTGTGTGCCAACAAATGTTTGGCAATATGAATTGAACCGGTATTTAAAACGGAATTTTAATTCTTATCAAAATTAAGATTTGAGATTTGAAATTGAATACACATTTAAGAGACAGGAAGTAAGTTCAAATTTTTAGAATCTACCAAAATCAGTAACATTAACTATACACCATTAAAATAGGTTATAATTATACACTAAGATAATTAATTATAATTGCAGAAACATTGTGCTGTTATGCTCAAACAAATTGCCGGTTGGCTGAAAATGCTCGAGGCTCAGATTAAACATCAAAACATCGTTCTGGATCGGTGGACTGAATGCAAAAATATGCTTAAGGATCTTAAAGTTCAGGTAAGTTGATGCAAGCGCTATTGAGTTCATATACCCACAACATGTTTAAACTTAAAATGCAAAATGATAATTAACTAACACGTTCACTGCGGATGTCGAGTAATCTAGCGCTTTACAGTGGCGTGTGACCAGTATTGTGCCAGTGTATACTTCAATCTGCTATAGTTCGTTTTCTGATCCGACTATTTTATTGGTGGTGGTAGGGACGGTACAAAGTTGATATATTCTTTAAGCCAGCCATTAAGTCAAGGAATAAGTAATAATCCAAACTAGCTGCTTAGATAAATAGTAATCTAACACAAATTAGTAATTACTTGAATATCATAAATTAACAAAGTTAGGAGGTACGTCTTAAGATAAAACATCTTATCACCTAATACATCGCCTGAGTTTTCATGAACAGATCATACTTGATATTAGAAACTTCCTTTCATAAGAGTAACTTTCATGTTAATGATGTGTAAATATTATCATTCATCTATACTATTCCTGTATGAAGTCGTAATTTACATGGCATCTTTTTTATGATTTTTTTCAGGGAGAAACAGAAAAATTTGCAAACAACACTACTGATGACAGTAAAAATGTAAGTACTGACCTGTAAACGAAACATGAACGTAATCTTTTATATGCTGTTATTTATCAGATCGAATTCAACTTGCAGTGGATCGTAGGTAAACTTGAGATACAGATGAGTAAATAATATGCAAGTCTTTTTACTGTCTTGATATCAGTTGGTTCTTTTGCCAAGATCATGCATAAAAGCAGCGTTATGTGCAGCGAATCCTCATATTCTGTCCGGTAATTATTTATGAAACATTTTATTTTCTTTCTAGATAACACAACAGTTGAAGCCATATGAAGAACGTTTAAAAAGAATTGAAGAAGCCCTCTGCAAACTTACTGTAAGTACCTTTAGTTGGTGGTTGGACGAGTAATTCTAAACTGTAAACAGTTTGTTTACTTCTACTTATTATTTTTTAATCATTAATTTTGTTTTATTTTATTTTAAAGTCTTCGTTTGACGACTCTTTCTGCTTGGTAATGGGTTTCCCGTTGGAATAAATAAATCAATCTGATCTTCAAATTCAAAATATATTTATTTATATGATGTACCAGCTTTATCTATGTTATTTATTTATTTTATTGACCAGCTTTTAAATGCCATTAACGAATACTTGATCTATAAAAATAAATCCATCCATAGCTGTAGATGTTCATGGAAAATTAATCCATAGTATGAAATTAATAGGCTTTTGTAGGAAAATTTTCTTGAGCTTTTGTCTGTTCTTTAAACAATTAACTTTCAATATCTTTGATAAAAAAATCTTTATAAACTTCACACCAGAGTATGAGCGCTTTGTTTTGAATCTTTCTAGCCTGTCACAAATGTTTGGATGTAGAATGCCTCTTAAGTTCCTACTAAATGATATTTGATACCTTTATCACTAATAATATAAATGATGTAACAAGATACATAAAAAAAAAACTTGGCAAGATCGCAGGATGTGTTTTATACAAATATTGGGTTTTTTATGAATGTTAGTTTGTTTTCACTTGGAGAAAATGAGGTAAATCGTCCATTTTTACCTTTGCTGGCAGAATATGTGTTACTTCCCAAGAGGTTTTAGGTTGGTTGGGGGCAGGGGGGAAGCAAGAGAAAAATTCCCTTGAAGTATGGAGCACAATTATAAGAGTTAATTTTCCTACTACTGTACTGGATATTGAAGATTTTAATAATAAAATTGAATAATAATACTATTGAACAAGGTAACTGTTATTTTATTATCACAATTATAAATCAGTCCCATAGCTTGTCACATTCAAGCTGTGGACCTGTATGTTTGTTTTATATACTTTGATTTTATTGAATTGTTTGTTATTACTGTATTAATTATAATTTTATTCTGTTATTTACCTACTCAATGTTACTTGTTTTTAGGGACCTCCTTGTATTAACTCTCCTCAAGTGAGTACCCAATTTTCTATTTTATTTCAATTGTTTACTACTATTATGTGAGTTGCCATATTTTATCACACCAAGACAGAATATATTAAACTTGTCTATTGTTGTCAACTATAGGTTACTGAAGTTTATGCATAACCACTGCACTTAAAATTTTCATATTTTTTGAAACTGACAAAGGCAAAGCAACAATGCTAGTATTGTAGTATTTAATTTACTTCAGTCCAAGCCTGAATTTTCTAGAAGGTTAAACATGGACACCTCCATGATTCCCAAATAACTTCCTTATCTTACCGTGGAAAATTATTGTATAGCAAAATCAGTAGAGTTAAAAGATTGAGGTATTTATTTTATTTTTGGCTACTATATTTCATGGTATGATTTTAGCAAACAATATCAGACCCGTACGACCAACGCTTGAAAATAATAGAAGAGGCAATCTGTAAAATGAGCGTGAGTAAACTAAAATTAACAAACAACTCATTTTTACAGTATAAATGATTTTTTACACTTTTTTGGGAAAAACTATTTGAATGGAGGGGTTTTCTTGGAAAGTTAGACTACAACTAACTTCTCTGAGAGAATTAATTGAGGGACCAGGGTCTACTAAACAAACAAAAATTAGGGGTTTGCAGGTCCCCGAAATGTTTGTGTCGGGCTGGGCCAACAGTTGGCTCTAGGGATGGAAGAATATCTACAAACAGGTGGATTTCTCATGTCAATCAAAATTGATGTAATGTGATGATTATAAATAAATGGGTATAAATTAGATTGAGTAATCCAAATCAACTATGCGATGAAATTCTATACTGTAAGCCAAGCACAATAAGCTTCAGTCGTCGTGCCAGGATTCCTGAGACTCCCCCTAAATCCTCCCTAAATGTCCGTTTTACATTGTACGACTTTTGTGTAATCAGTTTGTTAACTGAAGCTTATTGTGCTTGGCTTACAGTATAGAATTTCATCGCATAGTTGATTTGGATTACTCAATCTAATTTATACCCATTTATTTATAATCATCACATTACATCAATTTTGATTGACATGAGAAATCCACCTGTTTGTAGATATTCTTGTTAACTCTTCTTGTGTTCTCTTCTTGTTGTCTCTCTTGTAGATCTTCTTGTTATTAGTTTAACACTCTCTCTTCATAAGTGTTTTTCAAACATAATTAGAATTTAAAGAATGAGGTAATGCTCTCTATTTGAGTTAGTTATTTTGTTATGAACTTTTGGTCACATTGGGACCAAAAGTTTATAACAAAATGGTCACATATGTTTTTAAGATAATTGATCTTAGTTTATGATGAACCAGTTTTATATATGTACTCTTTATATCTTAAAAATTATATGAATCATGACAATAAGCTCAATATAATTATGCCAAAGTAGGTAGCCTACTCATAATCTGTTCTTTATTATTGTTGATTTTATCTCTATTATCTATTTTTTTTTTTTATGCATTACCGGTGCTGAGGTTGACTATGGTACAAATTAGTGTGGTTAGAAACAAAAAAGTTTAGCTTATCATTGTTGCATGACTAAATTACGTCTGCAACTTAGAAAAAAATTGCCCATTGGGAAAAATGTTATTTTACGTCTGTTAAGCCGTGTTTACCCAAAGCCATTAGGCAGGTTGCCTGAGGTAACTTGGCCTTGTGTAAACACAGCCTTAACGCTAAAATAAAATAATTTCCAACCACAGTAATCTTAATGGTTGGTAACTGTTAAGCAATGAAAGTTTTTTTGTATTTTTCAGAATCCTCAACAGTGCAATACTTCTCCTTATTTTGTCTGCCAAGTGGTAGGTTTACAGTTTGAATACATGTAACTCTAACAATAGTTGTAATTACTTTTTCCCACTACCCGCATGTAAATGATCCCATTGCTATCTGCTAAGTAGCTCATTGTTGCGCTATTTTCCAGTTGTTCTTTTTTAGACCTATCACAACCACGGATCCGGAACGTTATTTAACTACCGATAAGCAAATAACATAACCTTAAAGAAGCAAGCATAACCTAAATGTCATTTTATATAGGTACATCTAAAAAGTTAGTCTATAATTTAGAATGGTGGTAGGAAAAATCTTGTGTGTATTACGAGCACGAACAGTCATTGCCGCTCTGAAAATGTATATCACACCCAGCTAAAGATTCTTGCGGTCATCTACAGTTCTCGAGCGGCAATGACATACTTTGTGCTCTTACTACACAAATAGCTTGTAAGGTGCTGAGGAAAATTTTCTTTTATATCACTCTTAATGCACAAGATTGAATTCATAAAAAAAGTTTCATATTAGGATGTTGGTTATTTAAATGGTACTTTTAAAACTATCAATTATAATACCAAGGAAATGATATCAGTTTCTAACCTAACTATTTTGAATTATTTAATTGTTTATCAATTGTGATTATCATTAGGCACGGACTAAAAATTCTGAACCACTTAAAAACAGTCAATATATAGGTGTCACCCCCAACCACTTAAATATGTGCTACTGAGGATTTACAATTTTATACTCAATACTTCCATTCTATGGTTTTGGTATTGATTCCAGAATATTAATTATGCACATTATTGTCATCACTGTAACACTATTTACCTCCCCATGATCACTGCACCGTCATGATCATCTCCCACAACTATGGCAATATTGTGAATTTTGTATCTACAGAATAAGATACACTGACTTTAAACCTTGTAAAACAATCAGAACTTACTTCCTGTTAGAAGGCTCATAACTTATTTTCTCATTTTCAGCCTCAAGGAAATTACAATGATTCTTTGTGTGATCCAACAAGGGTGAGTTTTGGTCTAGTTGTCGTCAATATTAATATTGTTGTTGCTATTTTTGGTAATGAGAACTTTTATTGTAAGATGATATCGACAAAACACTAATGATTGGTTTTTAATAAGACCATTTTTAAAATTATAAAATTATATTTGTTAGTTGTATTTTAGTTCTCGTCGTTCCTAGCGCTCAACTAGTGAACAAAGATCTAGTAAATATAGACAACAATTATACTCTTGAAAGTCAACCATATTCCATCAAAGAATGGTGTAAGTACCTAAATAAATAATCCATATTTACGACGTATTTTCGGGGGAGGCGTTCGGAAAATACGCGAGCCCGGTTTTGACCCGGTTGCCGGATAGCTAGTCGCGCTGGGTTGCGGTTCCAGGGGTCGAAATGTCTAACGAATCGACAGTAAAGGGCGAATTAATATTCTGAAAATAGAACGGATGGTACGACAAATGTCTATTTCAAAGCAAGGTGATGACTACCTTATACAGAGTCGTCGTACTTGGTCCTCGGAGACCCGTGCGTGGTTGACAGTCGTCTGTCTCGTGCCCTCGTAGTGGGTGTGGTCGGCTCCCTGACTCGACTATCAGGTAGCGTGAAGTCTGCTCTCTCGTGTCCTGGCCTCGACTGTCTCTAGGAGCTGCGTGTGGTGCAACGGCCGGGGACGACGCTTGTGCGCAGGTCCAGTCGGGCATGCGCAGAGCGCCCGGCGCTGTGCGAATGGAAGCCGCCGACTCAAACGTTGGCGGGATTTACAAATTTACATTTGTGACATTGCATTGATGCTAAATCGGCTCCTTATACAAAAAAATTTCATGGCGAAATTTAACATGTTACATATTGATCAAAATAAAATCTGTGTTTGAAATAAAAAATAATGTTGGTATTTATTAGTATTTAATCAAAAACTTTAAATGTAATAGTTAATTTATTTAATAGTTTAATATATTTGTGGCACTGTCTCAATAGGTGACAAATAAAACATGTTTTAACTGATTGTTAGTGCTGTTTAAAATCATATTAACCTGAGACATGTCTTGCTGAATACAGTGATTTTAATACATTCAAACTATTTTTTCTTTCACAGGGAATCAGTAATAACGGAACACAGGTGAGTGACTTTTTTGTGCAGAATTTTTAAGGTTTTGTACATTATGTAGTTGTCAGGGGTGTCATGGTGCCAGAACAGCGTTCCGGCACTGGATTTGGACGGAAGTGGAAATTTCATCAAACTGTTATGACAAATTTAATAGTAAATAGGCCTAAAGCAATATTTTTCCGTTTGGAAAAAAAAAATTTCAAAAAAGAACTTAATATAATATTAAATATTATGTAGCTTGTGTAATAAAATGTAGTTACTGTAGGCCTAAGAATGAATACAACATAAATATTGCCAAAATCTGGCAAACTACGTCACTTCAACATGGTCACCATTCTACACAAACACATAGTTAAGAAACACAGAACAGCTGATTACAAAAGAACAGGCCGGCTCAAACCAAGGCCCCACTAGAAAAACAGGCTATGCTGCAGCATGGGCAGCGCAACACTACGTCACAGTGGTGGATAGTTGTACTAAACTCTTACCATTAAAATCTTACAAACAGCAAGCAATTGTATTTGTTTTATTGGTTTTCATTTGTTGACCAGCATTAGGCCCATTAAGTGTTTGCCATATGTACCTTTGGTTATTTTTTATCCTAACCTCAATTCAAATACACTACATAGTACCTATACAATATCTGTTTGTAAAAAAATAATTTCTGGTGAGTATGTCTGTATTATTTCTGCAGTATTTCAATATACTAAATATGTAAGGTTTGACACAAGTAAGATACTGTATCAATTCTGGGCCAGGTGCACCTTTCCGCCACTGTAAAAATTACCAATTTAATCTGAAGGTGTGGTGACAAGAATTAAATGAAATGAAACTTTAAGGGAAATCAATTTAATTTGCTTGTTTCATACAAAATATTTATTTTCTTCTGTTTACTTGAAACATTTCAAATACATTTGTAATTAATTATTTTGCAGACCCAACAATGTGTTTCACCTAGTCCGCAAGAGTGCAGTCCGCAACCTCACAACTTCTCGTCCATCTCAGATTGCTACATTGAGGACCCTTACTTGCCCTCGCCAGTATTGGTAAGCTATTGTTACTTAAGTTATAAACATAAAGTTGGTTGTAGACCAAAAAGCATTTTGAGCTGAGGCTACGGCCACACTAGGGGACCCGTCGCCGCACCTGGTTGCCAAGTGGTCATGATGCTTGCGTAACAATCAAAAGGTCACCGGTTCGACCCTGAGAAAGGTCCGTAGATTTTTGATGGTTTGAAACTGGACCCAGCTGTTTCTGAGATAACATTGGGGCGTCTTTGTCATTGGACCAAAAAACGCTCCTCGAACTCTCATATGTTTTACTGTCACCGGTGGTTGAATAAACTTTTATTCTTTGTATCGCCGACGAAGTCGATAAGTGTGACAATAGCCTAAGAGAGGCATTGACGGGTAAAAAATTTAGTACTGTAACTGTAAGGAAGTATAATAGGGTAGAATGTTAGCTAACTAGTGTGGTTTCATGGAAGTGGTGACTTTCACTCCATTAGATCAGTCTGTAGTTAGTTCAAGATATTCTGAATAGTACACAGTAATTTATATCAAGTAATTCTAAATGAAAATTTTACAATAAACCAAATGGTGGCATAGCGGCCAGAGTGGTTTTGTTACATATTTTTATTTTTAAGATGAATGTCAATGCTCCATTGTATATAAAAAATGTTTTAAATATAATTTTTACATTGTTTCTTATTCTTACATTTTGGGCCAATTGCGTAATGTGTTTGATAATTAAATGTGAGATTTGTATAAAGCTATGAGTATACCTATACTTTGAAAAAAAAAAACAAAAACGTTTTTGGTTGTATTGTAAGTTCAACAACTAATGATAAGACTTTGCTTGCAAATTTTAATTGAATCCATCATGATTTACCATAGTATATTATTTCATAATTTTATTAGACAGATAATACTATTATAATGCTTTAAGCTAGGATGTTTTCAATTTAAAAAGACCTGTAAATAGAAACTATTTTTGCAGTTCCCATCATTTCCTTCACCTTGCCCTCCATCTCCATGCCCCGAAGTATGCTCCCCTCAGAGTCAGAATCCGCAAGTAAGTTAGATGATTTTAACTTTCATATATTTTATATCCAGCCAAATTATTGGTGTTCTGGTGTTCTAGCCATGTTATAAATTTCCATATTTAATGTGGTCTTCAAAATGTTGAATCAAAGTGTGTGTTATTGAGTCAAAAGTTGTATTGCAGAATGAAATTTAAGTGTTTACAATGCATGATTAGTAAACCTAATCATAACAAAAATCAAAATGTGACATTGACAAATTTCCATTGTTTCGTAAGCTGTGTCTTAACACAATAAAACTATAGCCAATACAAATCTTTAACAGGAAAACAGCTGACAAGTAACAACAGTGTTGTATGAAAATTTTACAATCTCTTAAGGTTTTACAGAAATTTTGAAAAAAATACTTTTTGCCACACTACATTGTTTTAGCCATTTTACAAACGTTTATTGGAGGCCGAAAGCTACTTATTGCTGTCCATGCCAGCTGTCTTCGTCATTTGGAGGCCAAGCAGGTGTTTACATCCCCAAAGCCGAGAATCAGCTGTTAGCTTATTTTCTTTAAACAATAATGCATATTAAATACACAATCAGTATCCATAACATTGCAAAAGACTTGTTTTATTGTCACCGCTGCCTAGAACGTTTGCTACCGCAATAGTAAAAAAAATGTCCCTTATATGGACCAGCGACGCATATATGTGACACTCGGTAGTGAACATTTTACAGTAGAACCTTGATAACAAGACTCTCATGGAGATTATTATATAAGACGTGTTATCAAGGTTGACTTCTTATTGAGGTTAGCAATAACATTTGATAAAGGGTAAAATAAATTCAAGGGGATTTAAAAATTACACTTGTTATCAAGGGTGACTTATTGAGGGTCTTCTTATAAGGGTTGCACTGCATTAACTATTTGTTATTTTTGCCGATTCCTCAAATTATTTCTTCACATAACCTTAAAGTTATAGTTCTGTTGACTGTTAGTGTGCATTATTATTGTCGTGATATTTTAATTTTTTTTTATTTTACAATCGGTTTAGATTTATGAACAATTAGTAAAAGGCATAATATTAGTAAATGACTTAAGCAAGAATCTCTCCAGTGATAGATCTTGCAAAAATAGTCATGTCAAGTAACTAAAACTAAACAAATCTGTATGCCAGTTTAAGCACTTTAATAGTTTCCAGTCTATTGATAAATTCACTGTTGTCCAGCAATGGTAAATAGTGGTAATAGGGTATAGTGTGGTGAAAAATGAGCGTCCGTACCACGGGCCCAAATTGTTTTGCAGCTCTCGATCTTTTTAAGTTCTCGATTTTGTCTCAAACTGAAAAACTAGTCCGAGCCAGCCAAACCTCATTTTTGGCCCTAGGTACGAAACATAAATATTTCAGTACCTACCTTAACCTTATTAATGTTTATGTTTCTCATGAGTACCAATTATCAAGGTTATCATAGTGTTGTCGCAAAGAAAAGAATTTAGTTATAAAAAAAGTACAAAACTACCTAGAAGGACAGTTAAAAGTAAATTAGTGCTAATTTTTAATTGACATCATGGAATATGAAATGGGCTTTACTAGTTATTATTGTTTAGAAACAAAAAAAAATTATTGGTAGTGTGTTAAGATAATCCATTTAAGGTTATCTCATACAATTAGATAAACTTTATAAAGTATTGTTTAAATTTGTCTTTTCCTTTTGTCCATGCACACAGACTTAAAGATCTTGTGAAAAATAATCCAATATGTGGGAAATTTTTTTCCTTTACAATTGGGTAAACGAGAGAAAAGAAGCTAAATAAATATGTTTTAAAATCTAAATTATTATTTAATCAACCATGTATATTATTCCATGGAAATATTTTCCACTAATATTTTTTTTAATTACACAGACCTACTTTTCATTTAGTTGTGTTATGCATATTCATTGTTGAGTTCTGTTTGCTAGGTATTTCAAATGTTTGTGTCGTAGATAGTTGTAACATTGGGTAAGGGTATAAATGAAGATGTTTTCGATAGAATTTGATTTGAGTTCACCTATTTTCCTCCTATAGGGTGTGTGCCCTCCCCATACTCCTGTGGACTACTTCGGGAACCCCATTGGTTCCCAACAGAGCAACTCCTGCTGGGGCAGCCCCCCGGGCGCACAAAATCAAGTGCCGACATGCCCCTTGGAGTACAACGACCTGGGCGAACTGCGAAGAAACAGGGCACCACCAGGGACATTTTCCGGCATAGGTTTGAAACTAGGATAGATGTAAAATATCTATTACTTTTGTAGCTAAATCCTGTAATACCGGACAAAAAAGGATGGTGTGGTTTTATTATACAGGCCTGCACTTAATTTGTGGAGATATATTTTTTGGGTACAAAAGTCCTACATAAAGGAATTACCATTTTCATTTAGTAAGAATGGAAAGGGTTTATTTAGTACATTAAATTTTTAACAGGTCAATGACTATGTAATGTGAGTTTATTTAATAACCTTACTTTTGTTATCAAATATTGAATAACTCTAAGTGCAACAGACAATGGTCAAACACTGGAAAATAAAAACAGCAAAAACCAAGTTGTGACTGTATTTAAAATTATTTACAAAAAATGTGTTTTACTAATTTAAAAAGTATTTATTTAATTTATTTATAATTTAATTTTATATATTAGAATTGAATAACTTCTTGATCAGCATCGTACGTGTTATTAAATACCTTAAAAAAACAAAAAGATATAGGTCTAATAACATTAGATGTATATTTTTTTTGTTTTTTTCAGATATTGGAATTGTAAAGTTGTGTTGAGAAAGTTAGTTTATGTTCAAAATATTAGGTTTTTCTATCACATTATTTTAGAAATTTACCATTCCCTGTCTAAAGAAAATGTATTCGTTCAATTATGTATTGAAAAAAGCTCAATACTAGCTGTACTATTTGTTTGTAATTAGAAATACAAACATTCTTGTAACCTCAGAATACCTTCATTGTAGCATCAGTTTCTTAAATAAAACTTTTTGGTGACAAGTTCATGTTTTATGTACACATAAATCTTCGCCTTGCTCACAATTATTTAGTAGTTCAAGAGTGTCTCAGATCTTGACTGATCTGAAGTACTGTAGTTGTTTATTGTGCTAAACTCTCTGCTTTGCTATGTATTGCAGATCTGGTAGACTGCCCTGGTATGGGGTTCCCAGTACCCAAGGCAGCTCTAGATAGAGGAGGCAGACTACCTGGACAGACTGTACCTTTGACTCCGCCACCGCCACCCCCTCCACACATGGGGAGATTCACACCCCTCGCCATCAGTTCGCCTGTAAGTAGAAGACAATCATATTGTAGAAACATATAAAAAGCTATTTACTATACATTGAATGATGCCTGTTGGAAATCGTACGCACCATTCCTGTCCGAGGGTGCAGCGCACACGTTCACCCGCACCTTTAAATACAAATGTAAATAACTGGCTAAGACCAACTGACTGGCCTGTGCTTAGGACCACGTTCGCTACTGAGCGTCGCATATTTGCGACGCCGCGGTCATTGCCACAGACCGAGGTATACATTTGAATCTTACACATAGACCGGCTGTCACTTGGATAACAGTACACACAGACCACGGGTGAAAACCTGTAAAACAGTGATCATTTACATTGTAATACGCTACAATCGTGTTTGTAAATAAATAATGTATTCTTGCTTTTTGGATTATGAATAACCTTTTGTAATGTCGCATATTTGCGACGCCCGGTCTACAGCGAAGACAATAGTGAAAATTATCATAGTTTTCTTGAAATAGACCAAACGTCGCATATATGCGACAGTTCATTTTTTGTGTTTTGAGGTGAAAGTAAGTAAAATAAAAAACAGATTGATCAAGAACAGTTTATAATTGAACAAATATAAAAGCTACATAGGATAATTCAGCATACATACTGCATACATACAAACAGTGATGCAGAAAAGTAAAAACCAGTTTTTCCAACTATCATATAACGTCACCAATCATCATATCCACAGACCAAGCGACGCAGTTGTGCGTCAGACATCTCTGTAGACCACTGCAGGGAATTCAGTGCCTTCAAATAGACCGTTACAAAGATAAAAGCATTTTAATAACATTAGAACCCCGACGCAAATATGCGATGGCAGTCTATTATAATGTGACTAGCCGACGCATATATGCGACGGCAGTCTATGGATGGAACCCGGCCGACGCATATGTGCGTCGCTGGTCCACGTAAATGAAAAATTTCGTACTATTGCAGTAGCGAACGTGTTAGGACATATCAAACAGAGAGTAAGGGGTTAGCCGATAATACAGGACAGTGAATGAACTGCACTGATATTAGTGGTGACCTCAAACACCCACTAGTGGTGTTCATGACATCAATGTCATTAATTCATCATCTATTGCACTACCAACTGAACCACTAACTCACCAATGCTAATGACTAAACGGTAGGGTAATTATTTTATTTATTATTGAGCTGCTGTCTATGAACTATTAATACCAAATATTTCGTTCTTCAGGTGAAAGGAGATCCAGGAGTGTTAAGACCTCGTCAGCCAGTTACTCCTTTACCTCCGAATCCACTGGTAATATGTTACATTTATCTCGTTAGATTTTTTTTAAATATCGTTGTGTTGTATTGTTGATTATAAAGTTAAATCCTCCTAATGCAAATGAAGTAATAGATATCATTCGATCCCTAAAACCTGGAAACTCCTCTGGAAGGGATGAAATCTCATCAAAAACTTTAAAGAAATGTGCTGAAGAACTTGCCGCTCCCTTAGCCTATCTAATTAATTGTTCATTCCAGAGTGGAACATTTCCTGCAGTACTAAAGCTTTCAATAGTCAAGCCAATATATAAGAAAAAAGGAAGCCGGCACGATTGCAATAACTTCTCTATATTATCGACATTTTCTAAAGTAACAGAGAAGATCTTCTTAACTAGATTAAATCAATTCTTAGATAAAAATAAGATTATCAACAAAAATCAGTTCGGGTTCCGTTCAGGTTACTCCACCCTAAATGCTGTGTTCAGCCTGGTTACAGAGGTTTCCAACTCTCTCGACGCAATGAATCATGTATCCGGTTTGTTCCTTGACCTTACCAAAGCTTTTGATGTCGTTGACCACAACCTACTTCTAAATAAGCTGGAAAGGTTGGGTATCCGTGGAGTAGCTATGGATTGGATGTCTTCTTATGTTAAAGGGCGGAGGCAAGTTGTAGAAGTCCCTTACATTGATTCCTCAGGCTGTTTGTGTAGTAGGATATCTGATGAGCGTACTGTAAGTACAGGTGTGCCTCAGGGGTCCGTTCTTGGGCCCGTCCTTTTCTTAATGCTCATCAATGATCTGCCTCCTGTTGTGTCAAATTCAAAGTTACATCTGTTTGCTGATGATACTTCCCTCGTTGTCTCCAGTCAAAATCATGCACAGCTAGAAATCCAAACATTTATTAAGACATAAGACATAAGACATAAGACATAAGACATGTTTATTTCCAGTAGACATATTACAAATGTATTGGAAGAGTCAAACATTTTTCATGCAGAGCAGTTGTCAAATTAAGAAGTAAGTTACAAAGTGTACTTTGAAGTCTACGAAAAAAGAAAATTGCATTTTAAGTTATTTAATTAGTCTTAAACTAATATCACAGAGTTTATCACTATTGAGAAGTAAAAACAACCATTTGAAAGTTAGCAAAACATTACAAAATTAGAACAGGATGTACTACAAGGCATTAGGTGAAGGCATAATATCAAGGCATATTGAGAGTAGTTTTGTTTTCCAATGGCTATACGAGAACTCTCTACATGTTAATCCTCAGAAAACATCACTTTTAGAATTTTGTACACGGCAGAATTCGTCTAACCCATCTGAATCCTTAAATTTACCTGTCGACAACATGAACATTGTTTCTTCTTCTAGTGTAACATATTTAGGAGTAGTCATTGACAGCAATCTGAAATTTTCCAGTCAAATCGACAAAATTCACAATAGACTTAGTACTAGTGCTTTCCTTCTTCGTAGGCTCTCCTGTTATCAAGACAGACGCATCCTTCTGACAGCTTATTACGGTCTTGTTTACCCCTTTCTTACATATTGTGTGCCCGTTTGGGGTAACGACAAACTTCAGACTAAGAAAATATTCAAACTGCAAAATACCCCCGCCGCAGCAAACCTGCAGACTAAGCGAATTTCAACTCGTCTTATTACATTTTTGCTCAAATATTTCCATAAATAAGACATATTTTTTTTCCCTATTTAAATAACATTAGATTTAACGAGTGCTTAGGTTTGCTGCTACGGGGAAGGTAAAAAGTGTTTTTTGACTATACGTCAATAGTATAGGATGAAATAAATAAATTTGCCAAATTTTATCAATATACAGGGTGAGTTTCTACTGACCGTGTTAACTTCGCCAGTGGGTTCTACTCACTAAAAGGAACAAAAAAGTTCCTATAAACCCATGTCCGATTTTCGACCGTTTGGCTGTTTTGGGGGATTTTGTGTTTTTCTTATTTTATTAGACTTTGCTCCACAATTTATGTAATAAAAACTTAACCAATTACTTTACAGAGTTATAGTTAAAATCATTGGAAAGAACATTAAATTTGCTATAAATCAAAGGTTTAATTCAACAATTAAACCATTACATAGTCCACGTTATAACCAAAATAAAGTAAAAATGTCATTAAATTAATTAATTATGATAATTTTCATGGGCCTCCTTTGATACATAAACCTGCATTTATGTAATGTTGAAATACATAAAAAACTTGGCATTTTAATAATCTTTCAAATGATATGCTATTCAATACTATTATTGATATAAACCAGTGAGAAATTACTAATAAACTACAATAAAACACGGTTTACAGATTTTGTTTTTGCACAGTTTTACTGTTAATAATAATTACTGTATTCATCATGTTGGCATAATCTTGATTGGTAAAAGGCTCCATATTTTAATAAATGTTGAAAAACTCTTAATTGACTTGGAAATATAAAGTTAAAACAGCAAATTACTCAACAAGGTATGTTCAAGCAGCTGAGTTATCTAGCTATAGATGACAAATCAATAAAAGCTGACTTAATCAAGCACAAGGTAAAACTAATTACACAGCATTTAAGAATCAAACACACTACATCTTTGAAAATGTGAAAAACCTTGAGTTTATACATTTTATTAATTCAGATAATATTAATAAATATTTAAAAGTTAAAATAATGTACAAATTTTATCAGATAGTTCAATAAAATACATCATGGAGTATACAGTAATTATTATTAACAGTAAAACTGTGCAAAAACAAAATCTGTAAACCGTGTTTTATTGTAGTTTATTAGTAATTTCTCACTGGTTTATATCAATAATAGTATTGAATAGCATATAATTTGAAACATTATTAAAATGCCAAGTTTTTTATGCATTTCAACATTGCATAAATGCAGGTTTATGTATCAAAGGAGGCCCATGAAAATTATCGTAATTAATTAATTTAATGACATTTTTACTTTATTTTGCTTATAACGTGGACTATGTAATGGTATAATTGTTGAATGAAACCTTTGATTTATAGCAAATTTAATGTTCTTTCCAATTATTTTAACTATAACTCTCTAAAGCAATTGGTTAAGTTTTTATTACATAAATTGTGGAGCAAAGTCTAATAAAATAAGAAAAACACAAAATCCCCCAAAACAGCCAAACGGTCGAAAATCGTACATGGGTTTATAGGAACTTTTTTGTTCCTTTTAGTGAGTAGAACCCACTGGCGAAGTTAACACGGTCAGTAGAAACTCACCCTGTATATCCATAAACAAGTAAACTACAACAATTTTCATTTTCTCCATAAGAATAACATTGGAATTTTAAATTACACTATTTTTTAATTTTCTCCGTTACCGTTAGGCATACAACAGCGCTTCAATATACTAAATTATTTATTTTTTAAGCTCTACAAAACGGTCTAAAAAGAAATTGCAAAATTTTTTATTTTTAGGGTCAAAAATGGGAAAACCCCATTTTTACCCCATAAAACCCCCCATAAACCCCCGTTCCCATAGTCTGATCATGCTGGTTCGCGAACTCGTTCGAATAAACGTAGGTTTACACGTTTATACAAAATTTCATCGAAATCGGATCATTTTTGCTCGAGTTATCGTGCTAACGGACACATATATAAATAAATATATATATATATATATGAATCTGAACGATTAGTGTTTTTGGCCTCTGGGGACATCAAAATGAAAAAGTAAATCGGTCCCGCGCCCAGGTCTTACCATGAGACCTACGGTAATAGCTACTTCCCTATAGGGAAATTCGCTAAAAGAGCCATCAGATTAATCTTCAACCTAAAATATAGAGAGTCTTGTAGATCTGTCTTTCGTACAAATAATATGCTGACCTTCCCATCAATTTTCATTTTTGAATCTTTGACCTTCTTAAAAAAAATTCGACAATGTTTCATATTAGAGGGTCATCTCACCACAGCTACAATCTCAGGAGGAACTTTAACCTACATATTCCACTATCTCGTACCACTTTCCATAAAAACCAATCATTCTCCATGTGTATCCGTCTTTTTAATTCTCTTCCTAACTCAATCAAGGGAGAACATGATTTTAAAAAATTTAAGCCTGGTCTGAGGAAATATTTAGTTGATCAGGAATTTTACAGAGTTTCTTCGTTTTTAAATTGTAAATAGTTTGTACCTTTTGAAGTTTGTATCTTATTTTAATGGGTCTGATTTTACTTGTTTAGTTTTAGTGACTTTTGCCCTGTACATTTATGTATTATTATGGCAATAAAACATTCTGATTCTGATTCTGATTCTGTAATTTTTTTATTAGTAAAGTAAATCCTCATGATGAATAAAAGTTTAGGGCTTAAAGCTGTAAGACAATTGAAAACAGAAACTAATATTTTTAAATGTACTAAATGTATTTAGTTATCTTCCACCTATCAAATTTAAATTTAAATTCAAATATATTTATTCAAGATATTATTAACTGCTTGGCCACGCCAAGTTTACAAAACTTATCAGCAAGTGCAATTGATGTACAAACACACTATACAGTTTTTTCCTCTTTTTAAGTATGAATTTATATCAACTTACTAGTTTTAAGGCGGTTTGTGGTTCACTTATCTTCAAACTGAGTATACGGCAGCAAAACTTTAATTATCAATAACTCCATTCATTAATCATAAAAAATGAGAATTGTGAGTTGGTTTTACAAGCATCTTAATCCTTTATATACATGAAATTCACTTACTCTTACTCTTACTCCCATGACCATGGATTACCATGGATATCCTAGGTGGTATTTGGCCTTGCCAACATGCTGCCTCCATCTCTCCCTGTTCTCTGAATTTTCTTTCCTTGCTCCTAATTTTCGAAAATCTTTCTCCACCAGGTCCTTCTATAGATTCTTGGGTCTTTCTCGGGGTATTCTCCTGCTAGGTTTTGTCTCCAAACTTCTTTAATTAGTGTGCCATCTTCCCTCCTAAATACATGCCCAGCCCACCTTAGTTTTCCGCTCTTTGCTTCTCCTAATATGTCTGGGGAATGGTACATGTACCTTATTTCTTGGTTGTGCCTAATTCTCCATCCTTCTCCCTCTCTAACAGGTCCAAATATTTCTCTCAAAACTCTGTTATTAAATGAAACCAACTTCTTTTCTGTTTGTTTGTGTATAATCCATGTCTCTGCTCCATAAAGCAGGATTGGTCTTATGATAGTCTTGCACACTCTTAATTTTGCTGTACTTGTATGTGACAGTATTTTTATTAAAAAATGTTGTTTAATGCATACATGCTTCTATCTGCCAAATTTATTCTATTTTGAATTTCTATTGATCCATTACTTTTTGAATTAACTATTGAAAACCCAGGTATTTGAACTCACCAACTTAATTGAATTTATGGGTTTAGGACTTCAAAGGTTTTGGAAATTTGTTTGGCCAAATATGTGAAATTTACATTATGAAAATACAAATTTGAAGTTTTAAAAATGTTTGCCATGTAATATTCACTATCTCAATCTCAAATCAATGTGTTGCATTGCTTGAAGAATTCAATCTGTAAATCCTGATATACCTAATGGCCTTGAGACAACTCATAGATATAAAATAACATTCTCTATTCAGTGAAGGTTTCAATTAATTTAAATTTAATGACAATGTCTTAAAAAACAATAAAATTAAATTAGACTCAAACCCATTATGGTCCTAAAAAATAGCTATTTATTTATACTTTCATAGTTTCAATAAAATTTCTTCACACATTTTAAGTGTTTACTAGAGTTTAATCTACTATATAATCATTAAAACAGTTCTTGTATCCAATTTTTTTCAGGGGGAGCAACCGATGGACCCAGCTCTTCTTCCTAAGGTAGGTTTCAATCAATTTATAACACGAAAAACTAGATTGCATTCCCAACCGCCAATGAAATGTCTTCAAAAATTGTTATTACTAGAAATGTTATAAGTTGATCCAGTTCCTATTTTCAGATTCAAGAAGATCTGCAAAAGTTAGCGGAGAGGAATAAGAACTTGCAAGAGCTTGTCAACAACTTTAAGAGGATTCGTGCAACACTGACTGATGCGATTGATAAAGCAGTGAAACTCAACCAAAAACTGCAAAGGGATCTGGTGCGTTTCTTGTCTATTGATATACTCAATTGTATTTTAAACCAGCTAAATGTGGGGCTTATTAAACTGTACAAAGATTTCTCCATCAAATTCCAAACAATAATAATGGTACAATATTAATTTAATGTGGTGTGGAATTAGCTAATAACTTTAACCACAAAAAATCAATGCTCTGTTTATCAATTTCAATTGAGTTGAATATCAGTTTAAATCAGGTGTTACCATTTCATTTGGAAAGTTTTTGATGATTCCATTTTAGTTATTTTAGTCAAAGCTAACCTTAGGCCTGTGTGAACAGTGCGACCGCACAGGACCCCACGCCTCGGAAGGCAAAAAAAAAGAAGTTTTGAAAGCCTGTGAATTTTACGTGAATAATCACTGTTTCTCCCCATTTTATTCTGTCATGTTGAGTAAAAAATTGTGATTGCAGAATGTGATCACAATGTTACTCTATTTACAGGAGTTGTAGATTGTAAGATATCACCAAGGTTGATGCCTCAATGGCAAGAGATGATTTTGACTAATGTTAGGAAAAAACTGTATAGCAGATTATTATGGTTGTTGAAGCGATTGAATACTCACTACTCAGTCTTCTGCACTTCAACTTCATAAAGTATGCAACAATGGTACCAAAGTATACATATAATCACTCTGGTTTGAAAATTATAAAAACAAAAGTGTAAGAAAAGTTTATCTTTTCATGTATACATTATTAAGGATCTTATAAAAAAATTATGATTGAATTGAAATCTAAGAAAATCTCAAACACTTTAACAATGTATACCATCAAACATTTAATTTAATTTTTGTGTACAACATTCAACATTTATTCTGAGTTGGATACTGAATGTTGTATTAATAGTCAAATATACTGATTACTAGGCCTATAATACTAAAAATACTTTACAGTACTATGTAGCTGAAGCACACCGATAGTACCAGGGGCTGAAAACATTGAATGTAAGTGCTCCTTCTTTATACTTGTATTATCTTAGCGAAGTATTTTAGCGTTATTTAAACATTAAAACTCAAAAGTTTCTTAAAAGCTATACAATAATAATGATTCAAATTTGTTTACGCTCTTGTAGAAATCCCTATTAATATAAACATATCCATATAGTTAATATTTTGTATGAGCTTGTTATAATGTTTTAAGCTATTATTTTAAAACGTTTTTATTAGATCGCTTTCTTGTCCGGTACAAATTTTGCAATCAATTTTATACTAACTTCGGGATGAGCTAGAGACTTAAACTTGAATCATAGCTCACAAATGGAAGACAATTTAATATTATATCATTTAATTTTCATATTTCCCTTAGGCTACGCCCCATGGGCTTGTTTTTATAAACTCGCTTTCTTGCAAATTTTGATACTTCCCGATGAGCTAGAGACTTAAAACTTGAAACATAGCTCACAAATGGATGACAATGCAATATTATATAATTTAATTTTCATATTTCCCTTGGGCTACGCCCCATGGGCTTCCAAATTTTCCATGTTTACATATTGAAAGAATGTAAATATATCAATTAATTTAAGTCAGCTTTAAATATTTAAATTTTACAGTTCAAAGAGCAGAGGTTAGGATGTACAGGTTATGCTCCCAAGAGATTCTTTATACAAAAAAACATTTCAAAATAAAGACAAACAATCTGATTGCAGATATAAAGGTGTTTGTTAATAATGTCAATTGTTATTTATTTAGTATTCTATAAAGTAAACAATAAATTAAATAGATTGATATATTTATAGTTAGTAGGTAGGCTATACCATGGTGGGGCACACGGAAGATTTCTCAGGTGCCGTTTGACGTCACTAACTGCTGCGTCTGAAGAAACAGACAATTTTAAAATTTTTCTATTATTAAATTAAACTGTCATAACCTAACCAAACTAACCAAACGTGCTGAGAATGAAAAAATCGAATGAAGGTTTACTAATCTAAAAAATAGTTTTGTTCATAAAATAAAATTATATATGCCTAAAATTCAATTTTATAATTTTTAATTTAATTTAATTTAATTTAATTTTTAATTATAAAATTAAACTGTCATAACCTAACCAAACCAACCAAACTTGCTGATATGATCAAAAAATGTTGACAAAAAGTTTGTGCTGCCAGCGGGAGTTGAACCCGGTACGTTCGGATTGTCAGCCCGCCACGCTAGCCACTACACCACAGAGGCCGATGACTCAATGCCGTATCGTTGCGGTAATAGTGTTCCCTCAAAGTGACGTCAGCAGTTAGTGACGTCAAACGGCACCTGAGAAATCTTCCGTGTGCCGTTTCGGGCTATACCATAGACTAAGCAACACAAGTAGACTCCTCATCCCATTGTAAATTTTGAAGCTTGTTTTTTGAGTCTTGTTCATGTACGTCCACACTGATCGCTAGTGTAGACAACATTTTGTTTCTATTATTTTAGGGTTATTTTCATGATTTGTGCTTTACTATTTGGTCATATAACTAGGAGACCAGTTATTGTTTATGATTATATCGTTTTAGCGAATTTCCCATATAGGGAATATAAGCTATTACCGTAGTACTCATGGTAAGACCTGGACGCGGGACCGATTTTTTTTTTTTGTTTTGAGGTCCCTAGAGGCCAAAAACACCATCCGTTCAAATTCATATATATATATATATATATTTATATATATATATATATATATATATATATTTATATATATATATATATATATATATATGTGTCCGTCAGCACGATAACTCGAGCAAAAATGATCCGACTTTGATGAAATTTGGTAAAAACGTGTAAACGTACGTTTATTCGAACGAGTTCGCGATCCAGCATGATCGGACCATGGGAACGGGGGTTTACGGGGGGTTTTATGGGGTAAAAATAGGTTTTTCCCATTTTTGACCCAAAAAACATAAAATTTAGCAATTTCTTTCCAAACCATTTTGTAGAGCTTAAAAAAACAAATAATTTAGTACTTTGAAGCGTTATTATGCGCCTAATGGTTACGGAGAAAATTCCAAAAAATTGTAAATTTAAAATTCCCATGTTATTCTTATGGAGAATAAGTAAACTGTTGTAGTTTGCTTGTTTGTGAACATATTTTGATCAAATTTGGAAAATGTTTTTATTTTTTACTAACTATTCACATTTTACAAAAAAAAAAACAGTTTTACCCTCCTTGATGCAGCAAACCTAAGTACTTGTTAAACTAATTCTATTTAAATCAAGAATAAATGTTATATTTTTAAGTAGACATTTCAGTGTAAATCCAATCAGTCAAATGGAAATTTGCTTAGTCTGCAGGTTTGCTGCGGCGGGGGTATTATTAGGTTAAACGAGGTTTTAAATGACTGCAATAACAAGAAACAAATTGTAAACAAAACATAACCCCTATAGTTGGATGTACAGAACTAACAATAAAATTGGCTTCAGCTGTTCCATTAGGATGACTAATCTACTAAGGGAGTATGTTTTATCTATGGCTATACATTCAATCTAATACATAATTATATGAAAAGAAACTCAAATAAACCTTACATTTCCCACATGCCTGTCTTAATCTGATATAGATGTTTGAAATAGATTTAACATCCACACACATTAAACACTAAAAAGTAGAAAATAATTTATAAATAAAAAACTTTTTTTTAAAACAAAACGTTTTCAAACACACTAAAAAGTAGAAAATAATTTATAAATATGTGGAGAGTATAAATACTTGTAAGATTTAAAACGAAAAACGTGGGGTGCATGCTATTGATAAACATTAGTTCAATAGGTGAAGGTAATTGTAAATTATCTATTGCATGCACCCCACGTTTTTTCGTTTGGAATCTTACAAGTATTTATACTCTCCACATATTTATAAACTATTTTCTACTTTTTAGTGCATTTAAAAAGTTTTGTTTTAAAAAAGTTTTTTTTTATAAATTATTTTATATTAGCCTAAATATTTAGTTTAAAATGTATGTAATGGATATACTTTTGAAAAATGTAATTGATTTGTTACAGGTACAGGACTTAATTTGATTGAACGTAAATACTCAAAACTAATCATGAATGTAAACAATTAATAAATGATTTCAATGCATGTTGTTAATTTCATTAAAAAATATTGAAGGTCTCCAGCACACACAAGAGCTATTCAAAAAGTAAAGAACTTTTGGAATAAAATATTAATATTGCATGGTCAAAAAAAGTTGTATTATAAGAGACTACTAAGTTTTTAAAAGAGCAACTAAAATACTACATTTCTACCTAGTTGCCAAACAAATTGAGGCCCTTATGACAGTATTGGGGCTAAATTTGATATTTCTTTGTCATAAAATTCTGCCTCCTGTAAGCTTAGCCACCCAGTGACTCGCCTTCAACAAAGTGCTGTGCTGCTAAACAAGAATTCATTTTGAGAAAAAGTGTAAGACATTTGTAGCAAAGTGTGGGCTGTATAGTTGCTAGTGAAAACCCCCCATATGAATGAAGCAAAGAGATTTTGTGTCATTTGCTTTATGAGGGTGGTCATTGTCATAAAAACAAATTTTGAGACATTAACTTTATTTAAGCTATTTTGAAACTAAATCTCCATCTTTTCAACAAAACATTAATTGACTACATTGTTTTTTTATACTTCACACTTGACTTACGCAGGCCCACTTTTATAAACGAGCAGACTGGGCATTTGCCCAGGGGCAAATTGCTGGAGGTTTGGGGGTGCCCACCGGGTGCCCCCCAACCACTGCCCGCCCGCACTGGGAAAAAAGGGGGCGCTGCTTTTGAGTTTGCCCAGGGCTCCACTGACACTTAACGCGGCCCTGGACTTACGTCAATAAATTTAATTACATTTACAAGTCAATGGCAAACAAAAAACATATAGGACTGCACCTTACCACTTGAGGTATTTTCAACTGCAGCACTAATTTTGATAGCTCGCGCCTTTTGGCGTCAGATGGGAACGTTCCTAGCTTTCTGAATAGCCTAATTAAGCCTTATTTAAGACTTTGCTGGTAATATTTGACTTTTTCGACCAATAAAAAGTTTATACAACAATCAATGTGAGGATATAATTACGGAAAGTAAAAAAAAAAGATACGTCTTATAACACTTAAATAAAACATGTGTTAACGCTTATACTGTTACTCACAAGACGGTAAATATACAAAAAAGATGGTAAGTGGTGATCGATTTCGATTGGACACTCCAATCATCATCAGACCCAATAGGCGAATGACAAGAATCTTGAATGGCGTCCCTACTTATATTGTATAAAGTGGGAAGAAAGCTGTGTGTTATACAAGGAGCCTAATTGGAAGAAAAGGAACATTATTGAGGCTTTGTTTATTTCTTTGGATAAAGATTCATTAGCCAACACATCCATTGACATCAGCCCTGTTTATAATACGTTAATAGAGAAAGAAATTATAGGATGCATTGACAAATCAAAACAAAAGAAGATAATGCCATCAGCTGATCGAGATAACAGATCCTCTCCTCTCCCTCCCCCCCTCCACAACCGGGGTCGTCAGTCGTGGTTAGGCGCTCACAATGTTTACGTGAGAAGACAAAATAACCTTGAAAACACCGCACGTTTTTTATTGGTGCGGCGAAACGTCGTAGTTGAGAACTTTAGTCTGTGATTTTATCTTTAGTTTTATTTTTATTTTTGTATTTTTATCAGTGTGTACGTGTAATGAACTGTGATATGACAAGGACTGTGTTCTCCTGATTTCAATAAGGTGAGTGATGCCCAAAAATATTTATCATACTGAAGAAACAAATTGTAAACAAAACACCACCTCTACAGTGCACCGGACAGAACTAACAACAACATTTTTCCATAATAGAATGAGAAATCTACCAAGGGGTTTTATCTATGTTTACCTTTGTATTGTTATCATGCAAATAATGTCATGACGACAAATAAACCCAAGAGTCCCATGTTAAATTTCTAAAAATTTAAATTCACGTAGAGAAAAGCCGATTTGCACCATTTCAGATTCCTTCAAACCTTCCTGTAGTTGGTTACTATTACTGTGCTAAATTTTTTACGGATCGCTTCAGCCGTTCAGGAGAAGTAGGTGGAAAACAAAATGAGCAGTGTAGTATAAGAGCTTCGTTTGCTTTGCTCTCCGCTCAAAATATGACAATGAAAATGTCCGTTTTGAAGGAATCAATTGTGTTTTTCATGGATACCCAGACTTCTCACAAAAGATGAAGATCACAAAGGAAATATAAAAGTGTTCACCCTTCCACTGCTGCATCTCACAACCTGTCACCACCTTTAGGTTAGTGGAAATTATTACATATCATAAAGCTTATAGCTTAATACTGGGTTATTAAACATCATAAAGTTGTCATCTCATTTCATCAACACTGTCGTTTGATTTGTCGCAAAACTCTCTCTATCCAGTATGTTATATAATATCCATTATATTGTTCTGTAACACTTCCAGCTTACTTGCCATAGAGTTTTGTCGACAATAGCGATCAGTGTGTCACCAACATGAACTAGACGCAAACTGGCTAGGTAGCTGAGTGGTTATAGTGCTCGCCTACTAATCAAAAGGTTGCCGGTTCGATCCTGAGAAACGTTCGTAGCTTTTTGATGGTTCGAAACTGGACCCAGCTGTTCCTGATCATTGGGCTTTAAATAAATGATCCTGGCTAATGAAAAAGCTGATCTTAGTCAGTAACAAAGCTACACAGATCATCACACACCATTCTACACTCATCCTTCACTCATATTTGGGTTAAAATACGCACCTAAGTGGCGTCCCCATCTTAATGATTGATAATTGATAATTGAAAAAGCGAGCTTCAAAATTTACAATGTGACGAGAAGTCTACTTGTGTTGGTTAGTCTATGGTTCTACATTAATAAAGGAGACTTTGTTAAAAAAATCGTATTTGGTTCAAATAAAAAACAAGCAACTAGCTTAATTACCTTGTTGTCATTTTCTGTCAAGAAGAAACTTAACATTCTTCTTGTATTTTATTTTATTGGTTTCTATAACTAAGGTAAGTACAAATAATCTAATCCTATAAGCTAAGCGCGTGTACGGACAAAATTTAATTTTCGCCCACAGATTTAAAATTGCGTTTGTTATTATGGGGTATTTGGCAACGAGAAATTGATTGGAATCGGTCACAGGGCTGGGTGTGTATTAAAATGTTTTTTTTGTATCATCTAAAATTTGTTCACCATGGTTAACATACATAATAAATATTTTTAATTTAGCTGAATAACTTATCTAATAAATTTAATGTTTAATTCACTTCGAGCAAAGCTCGGTCTCCTAGTACTGTATATAACTTAATCAGTTCAGTATATAAAATGAATTTATCTTTGTGTCCTGTTGGTCACTTCATTTTCACTGTATTAAACCAGTAAGATAATCAGCTGAGTAAAATTATTATTACATCCTGAATTGACCACAGTAAATAAAACACATTCATCTACATAACATCAACACAAAAAGAATCATTTTTCATGTAAAATTATCAGTTAAAACTAGTGTTATTCAGTAATAATTTCACTTTAAAGTTTGTGATAAGAAAAATATTAATTGACTGTTATTATTTCAAATCTGTGGCAAGTATTTAATTGTATGATTAGTTTTGATAACATTTCTTTGATATGGTAGGTACTTACCTAATATAGCCTACTTTTGTAAACAATGTTTGCTCTACCAGGTTAATTTATTCTGCATATTCTCTTATTCACTATTTTTTATTTTATTTTGGAAATTACTGAAACATGCGGCATATTTTTTACATTTCATCAACAATTAGATTCAGAGCACATTGAACCCCATCCCTTTATTTGATTATAACTGATGTTAATATTATATTATTATTCCTCCATTCCTTGCACAAAAAGTTCAATTTATTATTTAGTAAGTTTTTATTTTCGATAGAGACACTTGCAGATAAAACGAGTATATGTAACGAGTAACTAGTGAAATGAAATATTTAAGGTACAACCACAGACAAGGGAATAAGTATACTCTTGATTAAATTCCATTGTCTTTGGTCCAGCTTACTAAGAATCTACTCACCTCACCCCAATATATATCTGATATCAAAGTATACCTCTACCTTTTTACAGACCATGGAACAACACCAAGGTGTAGAAGAGCGTATAAGAGCAGTAGAAGAGGCTATATGCCAACTTTATGTAAGTTATTGTTCAAGGGTTTCTTAATTTCTACCAATTTATATATTACAGTAAACGATATCAGCAATCTGACATATATACTTTTAGCGAATTTCCCTATAGGGAAGTAGCTATTACCGTAGGTCTCATGGTAAGACTTAGGCCCGGGACCGATTTACTTTTTCATTTTAATGTCCCCAGAGGCCAAAAACACCATTCGTTCAAATTTTTATATATGTATATATATATATATATATATAGGCTATATATAGATTTATATATATATATATGTGTGTCCGTGAACACGATAACTTGAGTAATTTTTATCCGGTTTTGATGAAATTTGGTTTGAAGGTGTAAGGCGGGATAAACATGAATGAGTTCGCGATCCAGCATGATCGGACCATGGGAACAGGGTTTTATGGGGGGTTTTATGGGGTAAAAATTGGTTTTTCTCACTTTTTACCCTCAAAACACAAAATTTCCCAATTTTTCTCTAAACCTTCTTAAAGAGCTTAAAAAAACAAACAATTCAGTATATCAAAGTGTTTTTGTACGGTTATTGGTTACGGAGAAAACTAAAAAAATGGTAAATTTAAAATTCCCATGTTATTCTTATGGAGAATATTGTAAAATGTTGTAGGTTTAGTTTGCTTGTTTATGGATATATTTTGATCAAACTTGGCAAATTTATTTATTTTATAGTAAGCTATCAATATTTTACTAAAACACACTACTTTATTAGTTTCCTTGTAGCAGCAAACCTAGGTACTCGTTAAACCTGATGTTATTTAAATAGATCAATTGAAAATCAATTCGGCCAAATGGAAATTCGCTTAGACGGCAGGTTTGCTGCGGCGGGGGTATTTCTCATTAGCTTGGCAACAACTCTTATCACGAGTAAGTGGTGGGAGTAACTATGATGTTTTATGAGGAAAATT